CAAGTACATTTGACCACTCCTGTAGACCAAGTTATGTTTTTTTATTAGACTTGGTTTAAAAGTGAACAAAAAAGAGATGAAACTATCACAAAAAACCCAAAAATAAAGTTCATTTCTATAAAAATGAAGAAAAGCAGTTTGAAGTAAATGTATTTACTTGATACTCTTCACACTCTTGATACTCTAATTCAACAAATAAAAGACAAGTTTTAAGTTGCAGAAAAGTTAAGGAACAGGTTTTCGTTCATAAAGGTTTTAGCATCTGATAGTATGTTGAGTGAAGAGAGGTTCATCATCTAAATACTTTGACGTGCACTAATTTTTTCAGCCCCTAAAAAATTACTAGCAATATAGTAAAGTTAGTTACTGTTTATTTGTTGATTAATTTATTTTTTTCAGTTTTTCTTAAATAAAAAGTAGCCTCCAAGTAAAAGAGATTCGAGAGACCTTAAGGAGGCAAGTTCAGTAAAAAAAGTTCAATTTTTTTAGCATTTGAATTGGTAACTAAACTTTTTCGAATAAATTAGATATGATGGGGTGCTGTTGAAATTTTGACCCCAAGTGTCATAAAGAGTTGCAGCAGGCCTATATATATATATATATATATATATATATATATATATATATATATATATATATATATATATATATATATATATATATATATATATATATATATATATATATCTTATACTGCTGAGTTAGGTGAGCATGATGACATCATACTGAAATAGCCTGCTGCGGGGCTTCAGTACATACGTCGACTGTCAAATTGCCTGACTCGAGGTGGAGTGCTGCTACATCGACTAAGAGGGTTTGGTATGGGTCAGCAACCTTTTCATTCATTATTCTTCGTTTTCCCTCATCGTTTTCTTAAAATGCTCACTTAATTTAGACTAGCAAAAAAAGTGAGCAATTGCGCATATAAATATGCTATAGTAGATAAAAAAAAAAGGATATATATATATATTTATATATACTTACTTTCTATTATTTTGAATTTTAAATTTTGATTTAAATATTAGTAAATCTGTTCATTTAACTTTTGCTAAAGGTTATAATTTTTAAAGTGATTTTAAGGCGCCTTTTGAATTAAAGATAATTAAAGAGATAATTACAGTAAACAATATTTAAAAAATATTCTATTATTTTGATTAAAAACCATGTTATATTTTTAAAAACATATATTTTTAAAAATATATTTTTTAATAATGTCGAGTGGTTTGACCACTCAACATTTGAGTAAAAGAATTGAGAGGAACATTTGAAATTACAAAAAACTTCTCATATAAATCAACATATTTTTTTAAAAACAAGTTGCTTTAATGTAGCCAATAAAGACTCTTTTTCATATTTGACTATGCCCAAACTTCACATCACTTAAAAATCATATTACGAAGATATTAGAAGCATTACACATTATGTGGGAAAAGCCTGATCTTAATAAACAGGTTTTTAATTACACGCTAACATTCCAGCTCTAATTTATATTTTCTATGACGTAGGTATTGCAATAACTATCTAAATTTTCCATTATTCTATGTCGTAGTTTTCACACCTTTCATGTTTTCTTTTGTTTGACTTACGAATAAAATTAAATTAATGTTTGTTTTTACTATATATTAAATAGTTTTTGTATTTAACAGTTTTATACTTGAAAATGATAATTGTATAATCAAAACATGTTGTTAAAACTGAAAAAAATTGTTTTATTTATTAGCCTTATTACAAAATTCATGCTACTATGACCATTTGGTAATATATATATATATATATATATATATATATATATATATATATATATATATATATATATATATATATATATATATATATATATATATATATATATATATATATATATATATATATATATATACATATATATATATACATACATACATACATACATACATACATACATACATACATACATACAAATTTAAAATCTGAAAGTATTTTTTATAGACATTTTCGTGAGGAACTTGCTGTTGTCTTATCAATAGAGTATCATCATATAGCTAATTTCAAAGGATTGTCATTAAAACCATTGGGTATGTTGTTTGATCTGGCTCCAAAAGGTCCACTTAATAATTATTTAGATAGATACAGACAGAAGAAAATTGAATTACCAGTGTATGCAGTTAAAGAAACTCTTTGTCAGGTTTTTATATAACATAGATTTTATTGTTTTGATCTTTATTTATATGATTATTATGTCAATCAACTTTAGTTTTGTTATTTAGTTTAATAATTTGTAATTCTTGTGATTTAGATCAGTGATGCTTTGAATTATCTTCAGTCTCAAAGTATCTTAAGCTGTGATTTAAAAAGTGATAATGTATTAGTTCATGAATTTCCTGAACCAGATTGCAGTCTGTATTCAAAAGTTCGACTACTATTAGCAGGTTATGGAAGTAGTAAAAAAATGTTGAACAAAAATACAGAATTATATAGGAGTTCAATTTTCAGGGTACAAAATGCTGATGAAAATAAAAAAGTAATTTTTTTTTTTTACTTGAAAATCTATTCATTGTTTTGACATTGAATGTCAGTACCCGATGAATTTTTTTTGGAGGTGCTTTTTAATTTTTGAAGGTTCCTGGCAACCCAGAAACACAAAAAGAGGTGTTGGTTACCTGGAAAACCCAGCAGTGTACCAGGTGCCAGGTAATTTTAAATTACCGGGTGCCTGACTAACATACATAAGTTATTGAGTACCCACCAACTTCCAGGATTCCTGAGCATTTGAAAAATTAATCTAACTCCTTCAGGGGTAGCTAGGCACCTCCAAAAATTATTAGATACCTAGCATAACAAAAAACTTGCCTCGCACATCTCATATATATATATATATATATATATATATATATATATATATATATATATATATACGTAATTTGCCTTCGGTTATTAACTGGACATAACTTTTAAAAAAATGAAAGTTGTTACAAAACATAATTTTAAAACCACGTTGCAAAGTTTTATAACAATGGAATGTATAAAAGATTTGCTTTTTTGAAAGTTAAAGCGTAAAGTAAAAAATATTAGTCCTTGTAACTATTGCGCAAGTTTAATTTTTAAATGAATGAACTTTTGATCTTTAGCTTGCTATTTTAGTTTATGTGAGGAAAACAAAAAAACAAAGTATAAACTTTTTCAGACAGTTTTTTTTTCTTTTAATATTCCTTTTTATTTAATATTTCCTTTCAATAACTTAATAAAAGTTTTATTTAGATCTGTTTAAAATAACCCATAGTAAATGCAATTTATTTATTCAAATGTTTATTTTTTAAATTATTCTTAATAATTTAAAATATAAATTTTTTTAAATATATCTTTTTAAAAATATAATATGGTTTTTAATCAAAATAATAGAATATTTTTCAAATTATGCTTACTGTAATTATCTTTTTAATTATCTTTAATTTAAAAGGCGCCTTAAAATCACTTTAAAAATTATAACCTTTAGTAAAAATTAAATAAACAGATTTACTAATATTTAAATCAAAATTTTAAGTTTAAAATAAAAGAAAATAAGTTTATTAAATGCTCATGTTTTTATTTGAATTTTTTTTTTTTTTTTCATTTGTATGTATTTAGGTGCTCCCAGAACTCCTTACGGTCTTATCATGGAGCACCGCGAGAGAGCATTTAACAGGAAGTTCACGTCTCCTTCCATACCAATGTCGCTTGTTGGCTAGAGCTGGCGTCGAACCTCGGACCTATGGGTTCTGAGCCAGAGCTCTAACCACTGCGCCATGGCTGCTCAATAAATAGCTTATTAAATATGTTTATTAAATGATTATCAAATTTGTTTATTAAATGCTTATGTTTTTAATTCAAATACAAGACATAAAACTATTTTGTTTGTTTTACAAATATTACGCTATATAATATATGTAAATATATCATGTAATGTATATATATATTTTTTTTTTTTTAATTATCTTCGCTTCCAAAAAGGCTGCAAGCAAACACTAATTAGTGTTGGAAGTTACTGGAAGAGAAAAGATGAAGATTGTAGAGCAAGATAACGATTAACAGACATCTTAAAAGATTGCAAATTATATAAATCAGGAAAGCAAGATGGAAGCGAATTCCAAAGAACTGATGTTCGAGGAAAAAAACTAGATGAATAAGAGTTTTTGGAGCACTTAGAAACAGTAACAGAAAAAGGATGAGACAATTGAATGACGAGTAACACAAGAATGAATTTTAGTAGATGGCACAAGAGATGCTAGCTCTTTAGAGCAGTGCCCATTATAGTATTTGTAGAAAAGAGAAAGAGAAGCAACATTACGACAATGTGACAGAGGTTGAAGGCTGGCTGCAAGAGCAGGTCCAACTATATTTACAATTCGTTTTTGCACCTTGTCTAATAGAGAAAGTGCATCATTCGAAGATCCGCCCCAGATATGGCAACAGTATTCCATACAAGGCCGGATTTGAGATTTATAGAGATAAAGAATAGAATCCAGAGTAAGAAAGTGACGAGCTCGATAAAGAGAAGCAACTTTAGTAGATGCTAATTTTGCAACGGATTTGATATAAGGTTTCCAAGAAAGATCAGAAGTAAGAGTTAATCCTAGAAGATGAAGGGTAGGAGACTCATCGAGTACATTACCGTTCATAAATATAGAAAGATCTAAATTGTTGTGATAACGTCTGGCTGAAAAAAATTGAGTTTTATCTGAATTAAAGTTCACCAGCCACTGTGAGCCCCATGCTGTAGCAGAAGTGAGATCCTTTTCAAGCTCAGATGCCCCCTGCAAGCAGTCAGAGGGAGTTGGCTTCTTATTGTGACAAGAATAAATAGTAGTATCATCAGCGAACAATGCCACCTTAGATGTGAGAAAATCTGGAATATCGTTAATGTAAATTAAAAAGATTGTAGGGCCAAAGATTCAACCTTGGGGAACCCCTGAGGTTACAGAATAAGAAGAAGAGTGCTGTCCATCAAGGACAACTTTTATACTACGATTGGAAAGAAAGGATTCAATAATCTTAAAGATGTTTCCAGATACACTGTAAGAAGAAAACTTATGGAGAAGATCAGCATGCCAAACTTTATCAAACACTTTAGAAATGTCAAGAGCAATGGCCTTAACCTCTCCACCTTTATCTAATGCGCGATAAAACCTATCGGTTATAACTGATACCAAATCAGCCGTAGAACGAGAAGATCGAAATCCATATTGATGATCAGAAAGTAGGTTATGAGATTCGAGATGAGAGATTAAGTGTTTGTTAATTAAAGATTCAAAAACCTTGCTTATGATAAGAAGAAGACTAATGGGACGGTAGTTAGACGAATCGGATTGTTCTCCAGAATTTTTAAAAATAGGGATAACAGATGCTGCTTTCCAGCAGGCTGGAAAACAAGACTCTGATAAGCACTTGTTAAATAGTTTTGAAAGGATAGACGACAGCTCTGGAGAACACTTCTGCAAGACTATAACAGGTATGTTGTCCGGGCCGCAAGCTGTAGAAGAGTCTAAGCGGGAAATCACTTTAGATACAGAAGCTGGAGTGATACGAATGTCAAGCAATGGATCAACCTGTTTGACGGCTATATCAGGTAGAACGCAACTAGTGGAATCAAGAGATGATATTGATGAAAAATTCTTGGGAAACAATTCAGCTTTGTCTTTAGGTGAGGTGACAAAGTCTGAACCATACAAAAGAGGTGGAATTAAAGACTTGCCTTTATTTTTGATACTATTAAAGATTCTCCAGAAGTCACGAGAGCCTAATTTTTGTGATGAAATATGAAATTTCATGATCTGAGAAAAGCGGGCTTTGGCATTAGACAAAACCTTCTTACAATGGTTTCTAGTAGTAATAAACAGACGTCTGTTTTCTGGAGAATTGTTTTGCTGATAGATATGGAAGTAATGGTTTCGATTGGCAATTGCAGCAGCACAATGTGAGGAAAACCATGGAGAAGATTGAGGCTTGACCTGGAATCATCGAGAGGAAATAAACAATTCCATGCCAGCTTGAATATACGAAGTTATGTAAGAAGCACATTAACAGAAAGACGAAAGATTTCTACCCAGGGGCCATCACGAAGAAAATCACAGAAAGAGTCCCAGTCAGCTTTAAGGTAGTTGTAAGATGTGCAATGATAGGGGGATTCTCATGGTAAAGAAGAATGAGATAATAGTTTTATTGAGACCAAACCATGATCAGAAGCACCTAAGGGTGAGTGTGAAGAAACTGAGCACTGACTAGGATCAGAAATAAGACATAAGTTGAGTAAAGAAGATAAATGATTCGGGTTGTCTGGAAAGCAAGTTGGAAATTTGACTATTTGAGTTAGGGGTTGAGAAAGAAAAAAGTTGTGGGCCTTAATGCCTGCAGAGTCACTGACTCTAGAGCCAAGCCATTCAGTGTGATGAACATTAAAGTCACCGACAACAACAATATTGGCTGATGGATAAAGAATGAGGGCTTGGTCAATATAATCAGAAATAACATCAAGAAGAGTGCAATCTTTAGATGAGGGAGAGCGATATAGAACAAAGAGAAAGGTGATAGAGTGAAGTGGTGCTAAACGAAAGCACTTAAAAGAGTAATCTGTGAATTTAAACCTAGTTTCCCGACAAATGGGTGAATTTTAACGAATGTAAATGCCCAGGCCAAGCATGTGACTATTGGAGTCTTTACGAATTAAAGGAAGATAACCATCAACACTAAGATCACAAGATTAGGTCTGGTGAACTTTGCAAGAGATAAGGCTCAACAGATGAAAAGTTACTTCGAAGACCACGAATATTGGTGAATCATAGGTTTAGCGATTTTGGTGATGACTTTGGTTTTTTGTGTTTTATAGTTTTTGTTACTTTATTCATTTTTAAATTTGTTAAAGAACTTGACTCGAAACATAGATAGTACTCAGTGCACTGTTTTATAGCTCAAGTAATTGCCTCATTTCCACTAATAAACCCTAAGCCGTAACAAAGGGCTCCAATGTGGCCTTGGCAATGCACACTAAATGTACAAACAGGGACACCATCCATGCGCAACATGGCACTGTTAGTACTCTGATATTTTTCAGCTGTTGATGGAATCAGCCTCTCTGAGAGCTACCACAGAGTTCGGGAAACCTGACTACCAGCCGGCCTCAGAACCATAAAACTGAGTTTTAGAGCTGTACCCTCATTTGGAGATAATAGAATGAGTTGCCTAGTCATAAAAACAGAGACACAAGCAAAACCCATGCATCGAGTCAAGAAGATCCAGCGTTCAACATCCTAAACTGGAAGTTTAAAACTTGTTTAAAATTTTTTAAATTATTATTTTAAATTAAATTTACTAAAATATAATTAATAACTGTTTAAAATACTTTAAATGATTTTTAATAATTATTTACTGATAGCGTGGTATATGCAACACAAGCGTTAATTAAAATTTTAAGTAAAATAGTTTTCTTTTAGCTATAGTAGCATTGTACACCAGTAAATTCATGTATTCAAAAAATGCCTTTAAATTAAC